AAAAAAAAAAAAAAAAAAAAAAAAGAATGATTGTTAAAGCAAGTTATATCATGTACACATACAAATTCTCTATGATGAATGTGGTTATTACATAAACCTAAAATGTACCAGTAAAATCTGACTGGAGGGAAAAAAAAGAATGATTGCTAGAATTTGTATTAGATATTTTATGTTACCGTCTTTTATTCTCACAGTTCTATGATGCTGAGTATCCTGTCTTCTCATTTTCTAGGTGAGGAAATAGTCACAGAGAAATGAACAATTTTCTCCAGCTGCATGGTCAAAATGAAAAATATTATGAGGATATTTTTGGAAATATCTTCAGATGTTTTTAATATTCTGCATGTCTTATTACCCTCAGATACCCTAGCCATTTAAAATAATGGTTTCTGCGTTTCAGAGGAAAGGGCAGATCTGAGTCAGAACAAAGAAGTGACTGTCATGTGGGATTTTCATGTCTCTAGTAGAGGATTAATCCTGAAAGCCACACTTTGTCGAATAAGAGAGGCCTCACAAATTCAGCATGTATCAAGAAGCAGGACGGGTGGATGTGGCATTTTCCCTGACTGAAAAAGACACAGAGGATATGAAGAAAATCTCTGCCTCAGGGAAGGAGTAGGGATGAAGGTACTTCTGATCTTGAGGATAATGGGAAGAAGGAAGAGATGTTCAATGGAAGGAAGTATTGAGAATCCAACCGCCTACTCTCCCACCCTGGTCCAGTCAGGATCTGGAGCGGCCCCCAAAGGCACATGTGTTGAAGGTCTGTCCCGAGCATAGGCACTGCTGGGAGGTAATAGGGCCCAGGGAAAGGAAGTGAGGATGCTGAGGGTGCTGATAAGAATGAACCCCAGTCCTGCCTCCATTTTATATCCTTTTACATCCTTGCCATAAGCTGAACAACTTTGCTCCACCCCCTGCTTTCCCTGACATCATGTTCTGCCCAGCCACAGGCTCAGAGTGATGGGGCTGCATACCATGGACTGAGACCTCTGAACTCATGAGCCCTAACAAAATTTTCCTCCTGATCAGCTGATTTTTCTCAGGTATCTGACTAAAATAGTAGAAAGTTAACACATGTTCCAACCTCCAGTTACTGCTGTTGTGCTGCAGTTTGTGCAGTTTCAACTTTTACAACACACACTGTGCTGTGTTTTGAAGGATAAAGTTTGGTGGGGTTCCAAGGACTTCTCACTGCACTGGGGACAATTCTGCACTATGGCCTGTAAGGCCTTGTATGTCTGGCTCTTGTGTTAGGGTTTTTATTTAAAATAAACTCAGCCATAGTGGCTTAGGCAAATAAGAGTTTATTTGCTCATCTAGGGCTGGTGCAAGGACAAGGAAAGGCTCAGGTTCCTGCTATATCCTGCTCGGCCACTGACACCGAGTGGCTTTTGTTATTATAGCATCAATGCAGCGCCGCTGCCTCTTCTCCATGAAGCTTTCCAAGTGGTAATAGAGGAAGGCAAAGAGGCAAAGGGTCAGTGGTGTTTGTGAAATGAACGAGTCCCCTTCTCCAGGAAAACAGCCCTCTTCCCAGAAGACCTGTGCAGTAGATCTGCTTTCACCTCCACAGGGGCCATGTTGCCCTTTAGCTTCAGGAACATAGTGCAGTTACATTTTAAATGAAACATTGGTTTGAAGGGTAAAATTTGGTGGGGCTCCAAACTTTTTACCCTTCAAAGGTTCCTACACGTAACACTGAAAAAAGAGGTGTGGGAAGCAGCCAGCAGTGTCTACCACATCGGCCCATCTGACCAGGGCCCTCCCACTAGCTACATCCCCAACTGTTTCATTTTTTGAGACAGGGTCTTCCTAAATTGCCCAGGCTGGGCTTGAACCTGTGATCCTCCTGTTTCAGCCTGCCAGAGTTCTGGGATTCCAGGTGTCTGCCACCACACCCAGTTTATTATTTGCTATGTTGCCCAGGCAGCCCTCAAACTTGTGATCCTCCTGTCTCAGCCTCCCGCACACAGCTAGAATGACAGGCATGAGCCACTGTGCCTCGCATAATTGGAGATGATTATTCCTTTGGTTTAGTTTTTTTTTTTTTTGATACCGGGAATCGAACTCAGGATCTTGTGCTTGCCAGGCAGGCGCTTATGCCACTGAGCTATATCCCTGGCCCTCCTCCGGTTTACTATTATTCCTTACTGGCTTTAGTATGATGGCCTGTTTTTGAACATGGTCAAGCTCTTCATACCTCAGGAATGTACTCAGCTTATAGTATTCTAGCCCAGAATGGCCTTTTCCACCTTTTTCCAGTGGCTGGCAGCATCTTGTCGTTAGGTCTCCACTCACCTGTGACCTCCTCAGAAGAGCTTCTGACATCTCTCCCCTGCAATCCACAGTGGTGACTTTTGCCTCAGTAATTCTCTTCCACAGTAAGTTGTCTGTTTCCCACGGTGCTTTTGTTACTTCTTATTTATCAATTTTCCTCTCTTACATAGCAAATGTCTGGGAGCAGGACCTACTCCATCTTGTCCATGGCCGTATTCCTGGCAGCCAGGCCAGTGCTTGGTAAATATAGTGAGTACAGTACTCTGTAAATACCTTATTTGTGGCATAAATATGTGAATGGAAAAATGGGAAAACAGGTGGGACTCTTAACACTCATATTTCTGGCATCCCTATTAATTCCAATCGCCATGTACATGGCTCTCCTGCTTAAAATCCATTTCTCAGTATCTTTTGCCTGTCTCATCATTTTAGTAAGAGGCCCTTAAAGTTGGTATGCTTTTTCTGCATTAAAAGGGCAAGCTCTCACTTCTCCAAAGTTTTAATGACACCGGAGTAAGCAAACGGGAGATGGATGAGTGGAGGCGGTGTTTTGGTTGTGCCCAAGAGCTGGAGCACAGGTTCTCATCATACTCTAGCAGCCATGGAGGGAAGGACCATTTCTGCAGGGGGGGCTCCGGGGACCTGCTGCCTGAGCAGATGTGGGTTCAGTTCTGGCGCTGCAGTTGGTTTTCTTCGCACAATCATGCAGTGCTTTAAGTCTGCTCCAGCCTCTCTGTGAGGATGTGGACAGGCTGAGGCGCCTCCCTTTCCTTGCTGAGAGGTGTTGTGCCTCAGTCCTTCGCTCCTTTTCTCCTGAGTCATTAATCTGTCAGCAGACTTTGGATGAGCTCAACTTCACAGAGCCTGGCTCCCACATTTCTGGCAGAAGCAGTGACTAATGGCTGCCAAGAATACTGGCAGCACACTTTGTGCAGAAAATACCAAGTACTGATATTTTATTTACTTATTATTTATTTCAATCAGTCTTCCTATATTGACCAGGCTGGCCTTGAACTTCTAGACTAAAGAGACCCTCCTGTCTCTGCCTCCTGAGCACCTGGGACCATAGGTGCCTGCCACCATAACCAGCTTGGTATTTATGTTTAAAATGAATATTTTAATAAAAGCACTCTGCTATCTGAAAAAGCTGTCACAGATAAAGCTGGTCCTAATTAAATTAGTAAAGAAAGATTTTATTGAATACTACTACAGCCATAAAGAAGAGAGAGTACATCATGAACCAAACACTTCCCTGAAACAAAAGGCTAGAGACTTTTTAAAGGCTGGGGGTACTTAGGGAAGGCACGAAGGGCTTCAAAGCATGTGTGTTGATTTATGTGATCAGGCTATCTGGATTTCCTAAATGGCACTTATATGGAAGAAACAAACTTTTGTCTTCATGCCAGGAGGCGGTGGTGCAGGTAAAGCAGGACATTTACCTCTCACAAGGGCTGGGAGCTAGACTGCATTATCTCTCTGAATGTTCTTCTCTCAAAAAGAAAGTGTTCAGTGGTAGACCTACATTTCAACCGTGGGAGAAAGTTCATCATTGCAAGCTTTCTAAACTGCCTATGAGCAGATACTGGCTAGAACATACAGTAAGTTCTCATTCAGCTTTTCCAGGTAGGCATTAAACAATGTCTTACACTGCTAGAAGCCACGCTAGAATATGATCAGATCTTAGTGCAGAGACGTGGACAGTCACTATGTGCCAAGAGTTCTGCATGGTGGTGTACGCCTGTAATCCCTGCAGTTGAGAGGCTGAGGCAGGAGGATTCCGAATTCAAGGCCAGTCACGGCCTTGAAACACAGTAAGGCCCTGTTTCAAAAACACCTTTGAAGTTTTCCGAATGTATGTTCGATTCACTTTTCCTTTAACACGGCCAAAGTTTTACGTGTCTCTATTTGAGCCGCAGACCCCAAACAACAAAGTTTACAATTTGCCACATTAATAATTAATGAGTATTTTTTAAACGCCAGATTACAAAGTGCTTTGGATAACTCGGAATTCCAACTTCCAGGTCGGCTTCTTCTGGACGTCTGAGTTTCTGGTCCAGGCCGTGTGCCCATCCCACAGTCTATTTGTTCCGCCTGGGTTCCAGCGTCACCGTCGGCCGGGCCTTGTGAAACCCGCAGCGACTGCGAGCTGGGTTTTTTTTTTTTTTTTTTAAAAAAGGAAGAGAAACGCCTCAAGATGCGGGGGTTGCAAGTCTCGACTGCTTCTTCCCTTAACGACCGCCTCTTCCTTTATCGACAGCTTCTTTCCTTAACGTCCGAGTGCTCCACTAACACTAGGCCGTGCGAGGTTCTGTAACCCTTTTCTGGCCTCAGCCAGCGCAGCCAGCTTCTCGCAGAGCGCTCTCCTTCTCCTAACAGCTGCTTCCAGCTGCGGCTTCTTCCGCCACCTCCGACCCCGGTACTCCGGTACCGCTCCGTCCTCCCCAGTACTCCCCGGCACTCCCCTCAGCCCCAGCCCGAGCGCATGCGCACACTGAGAGCGCGGCCGGACGAGGGCCCCACCACATCTGCACGGCATTTGCTTTGTGGCGTGCCGTAAAGCGCCGCCACGCACGCGGTACGTCTTGGGGTCCCGGATGCGGCTCCCAGCGGCGGCCCTGCGGCCTGGGCGTCACGTGTGGCTGTGCGCTGGGTGCCGCCGGGAAAGCCGCGAGGTGTCGTTGGGAGGGCGCCGGTCTGTGTGCTTCCGGGTAGATGTAGCGACTGTGTCCGGGAGTCGGGGCTCCCCGGAACCGGTGCCCGGCGGACCCGCGCGGGCTCGGGCGGAGGCCGAGGGCCGAGCCGAGAGCAGCCCGGCTCCGCGGGGCGCCGATGGCCGCGCGCTTCCCGGGCAGGGCTCTCGCCGCCGTGTCTCTCTCAGTGGCCCTGGCCTCGGTGACTGTCGGGTCCTCCGGCTGCCGCGGCGTCCCGGCGCACAGGTATCCCCCGCCTAGAGCCGGCTGCCGTCCCGAGACCCGGGGCTGGGTGGGAACGAGGCTTCCCGTCCGGCGGACGCTGCAGGCTTTGCTTGCGCCCCGCTTTTTGTAGCTCGGTACAGTGCAGGTTTCTAAAAAGGCTCCCCAATCTCACCTGCCATTTGAGGTAGAGTCGTGTCAGGGACTTACCTCGGGGTGCGGGCGGTACTGGGGTTTGAACCCAGGGCCTTTGGCGCTGAGCTACATCACCAACCTGTTTGTTTAGCGAGAGGGTCTGGCTCAGTTGCGTTTTCTCCGGCTAGGCTCGAACTTTGGCTCTTCCTGCCTCAGCTTCCCAGGGTGCTGGGGTTACAGACGTGCACCACCACAGCCCAGCTCAGGGATCTGTCCTGACCCCTGATTTTGAAATTTGCCATCCTCTATAAGTCACCAACATTATGATCACCGACCGGTTTAAATAGCACTTGTGTGGGGTGGTCTTTCCCGTGTTCTTTTCTGGTTAATATTACATGTAATGGATGCTGGGTGTATTTTTTTGTTTGTTTTGTTTTGGCTTTGTTCTGTACTTTTTCTTTTTCTTTTCTTTTTTTTTTTTTTTTGGTACCGGGAATCGAACTCAGGACCTTGCGCTTGCCAGGCAGGCGCTTGTGCTGCTGAGGTATATTCCCGGCCTGGCTTTATTTTTATTAATGTGAATAATAAGCATTGTTTTCTCCACATAGGAGGGCTGATGGATTATTCTTTTTTTGTGTTAGTAGGTCGTCTAGACTGGGAAGTCTTAATTAAATTGAACATGCTCGGAACCCTTATTTTGGGTCCGACTTTATAGGCGTGGTGGAGTAGCAACTTTCTTTCTTACCTGACTGAGGTTACTAAGCCTAACTTTCGCTAGTTCTGTAACACTACCCTTTACAGTGGGAACTCTAGGCTCCCCCTCCCTTTTACATTTTGGATTTTATTCTGAGGGCAAAAAGTTTCTGGGGGGTACTGAATAATCTCCCAGGTTATTGCCTCACCGCCCACTTCTGGATTTTGGGCCCACCGACCTCAGGCAGGAAACTTATCCCTCACCCTTTTGGATTCTTAATGCATCGCTTGTTTACTGTAGGCCAATGTGATTTCATTCACTTAGTCTTCCTGAAATTGTTTAAAGTCTTTCATTCACTAGTGGTGTCCTTCCTCTGCTGCCGTGGATTTTATTTCCTTGAATACATTTTTTAAAAGTCTTTTGTGTGGGATTCGGGGAAGGAACAATGTAGTGTACTGCTTCCTGGACATCACTAAGGCTGTTTTTGTTGTCACCAGAATAATATGAGGTTGCAACTGACAGTTCTTCATACCTCCTGCCCCCTTTTTTAATTAGTGAAGTTTGCAATACATAATACATTAATTGTGGGATATTGGTATGTATACATATGGAATCTTGGCCCATGAAACAGTCTGCATACTGGCTCAGAACAAGCTAGAGAGCGTGGTAGTACCCGCCTTTAATCCCAGCACTCCAGAGGCTGAGGTAGGAGGACCCTGCAAGTTCAAGACCCGCTAGGGTATATACATAGTTCAAGGCCAGCTTGGATTGTAAGGTGAGACCCAATCTCAAAGCAACAAAAAAAGCCAAAAACAACAAGCCAAAAGTATGTGTTGAGTACTAGGTATCTAATATTGCCAAGCATCCTGGCAGAGAGATGCAGGTCCTCAAGAATTTTCCCACTTTTTAATCACTCGGGTCGGGGATATAGCTCAGCGGCACAGCGCCTGCCTAGCAAGGGAAAAGTCCTGCATTCAATTCCCGGTACAAAAAGAAAAAACAATTGGGGAAAATCCTGAAAGTGACAATTTTGTAGTTAACTCCTGTGATTTTTCTGCAAGTTTCATGGTCTGTTTTCTAGAAAAAAAAAAGTATAAATAGTGACATTTGAAATTTCCCACCAGGATCTATCAGTGACATAAATTAGTGGAGAATGTTTGTACTTTGTTCCTGTGAATGCATGCATACGTTTCTGAACTGAAAATGAAGTAGACATAGTATAGCCTACTGTTTAGGGTCTGGAATTCTGAGCCAGTTTGCCAGGTTTGCATTCTGATTCTGCTATTGCTTGTATGACTTTGGTAAATGTATTTAACCTCTGTGGGTCTTGTTTTTGTTTTTTTTTTTTTCTCTTCCGGTACTAGGAATCAAACTCATGAGGTTGAGCTTGCCAGGCAGGAGCTTTTGCCACTGAGCTAAATCTTCAGCCCCACCTCTCTGGGTCTTAATGTTGTTATTTCTTAAAAAAAGATGACTTTAAACCCAAGGATTTTGAAAATCAAAAGGGTTAATAGTATTACAGTGCTTAGAACAGTGTCTTACACATACATAGTAAGATGTTTTAAACACTTATTACATACATTCAGCTACTGTTACAACTATTGTGATTATTGCAAACTTTCTTTGGTTCAAAGAACCATGTCTAATATTTCTTTAAGTTTGCCATTTTTAGGGACTGATTTTTGCTTCATAAGGTGAACTTGACCAGCTTATTAATTTCTGTTTATTAGGCCAAGTACATTTCTTGTACAGTCAGTGCAGTAATACAGTGAAAAATGGTCTAGGCTATATATGTGTTTATAAGTATTCTCGATCTGGTGCTTTTCAGTGTATCACTTTAATAGATATAAATAGTATTAGCACTTCTGTATGTAGTATGTGAATTTTTGCCATTTTTCTTGCAAAATTAAATTTGTTTTGAAAAGTAGACAGGCATGTAAGTTTTTTCCTGTCAGAGTGGTAGATTTGTAGAATTCCTTGTGCATGTTGCAAAATCAAGGCACAAAGAACCTAAGTTACCTAAAAAACATTTTTGGTAGTTGAATGAGGTAGAGTGGAAGAAAGATCAGTGTTTCCTGTGGGAATTTTTTCTTCCTACCCCTAAACCATGAGCCACAACTCTCATTTTGTAATAGAATTTGGTCAGAGACCAGGGCTCTGTATTTTAAATTTTACTTTTTAAAATACATACCCAAAGTCTTTGCATGTATTTCATATTTATACATTTTGTTGTGTGTGAGTGTAGAATGAATAAGGTCTATTTTCAGAATATTCATTATGTGGATTTCCAAAGCTGTGGTAGCTAAAGCAAGTCATCATAACTTGAAAATAATGAATGAAGCTGCTCCTTTCATAAAGCTGGTCACAAGTCAGATATTCTCCATGCCAGGCGTGGTCGTGCACCCCTGAAATCCTAGCACTGAGGCTGAGACAGGAGGATCTTTGAGAGTTCAAGACCAGCCTGGGCTGCAAAGTGAGCTCAAGAACAGCCTGAACTGCACAGCGAGACCCTGTCTCAGACAAAAAAAAAAAAAAAAAAAAGATATTCTTCCTGACTCTTGTGTTCAGCTTTTTCAAAGGTGTTAACACACCCCCGCCCCTGCCCGTTGTAGGCGTTAAACCCAGGGGTGCTGTACCACTGAGCAGCATCCCCAGCTTTTTAAAAAGTTCCTTATTTTGAGACAGGGTCTCCCTAAGTCACCCAACTTGGTCTCAAACTTTTGATTCTCTTGCCTTAGACTCCTGAATGGCGAGGATGAGACGCATGTGCCTGTAAAAGTTAATAAAAGGCTAAACAATAAAACATTTTCCCTGAATTTTGAGTGTTTGACATTACTTCATGGATGGCAGAGTGAGTACAGAAGTGAATATAGTAGGTTTGTTTGTTTTGTTTTTGGTAGTACTGGGGATTGAACCCAGAGCCTGTACACTGAGCTATATCCCCATCTCTTATGTTAGTTTTGAGACAGAGTCTTGCTAAGTTGCTCAGGCTGGGGTCAAACTTGAAATCCTAAGTCTTTAAATAGTTACACAAGAACAGGAAAGAATTAAACCAGAGTGGAGAAGACAGCTTAACAGTTCTTAAAAAACTAAAAATACTGATCTTTTGCAAAAGGGAAGGGGAGGGGACCAAGAGATGGAGCAAGAGGGGAGGGAAAGGGGATGAAAAAGAATGAAGATGTGATGTGCACATGTACCAGTTCCCCATGATGAATGCAATCATGTGCTGCAAAAGTGTCATAAAACTAAACACACTGTTAGTACACGATATAGCATACACACTTACTGGTGTTTACTCAAATGGATTAAAAACCCATGTCCACAAAAGTCCTGCCCACAAGTCTTTTTAGCAGCTGTATTTGTAATTGCTAAAACTTGGAAGTAACCATGGTATGCTTCAGTAGGTGAATGGATAAGTAAACTGGTACAGCTGGATGACGGAATATTATTTAGCACTAAAAAGAAGTGAACTATTTGTGAAAAGACATGACGGACCCTTACATGCATATAATGAGATGTAAGAAAATAATCTGGAAAGGCTGTATGATGCCAACTGTATTACAGTTCTTGAAGGCAAAACTGGAGACAGTAAAAAGATTAGAACTTAAGGGAAGACTTGGATGGATTGGGGTAGCATAGGATTGTAATTTTCAATAGCTTTATTTTATAGATCAGTGTAGGTTCACTGCAGAGTTGAGTGGGAGGTACTGAGATTTCCTGTACACACGCAACTCTTACACATGCATGGCCTCTGTCCTTATCAACATTCCTCCGAGGATGATGGGTTTGCCACATTTTCCTGAACCTATCCATCTTTTCCCCCAGATCCCACACAGTTCACTCTTGGTGTTATACATTATGGGTTTGGGCAAGTATATAATAACATGTTTCTGTCATTATTCATTATATACATTGAGGTGGGGTCAGGAGGAGGTGTGGTAGGCAGTCCTGCAAAGTCAAGTTCAGAATTTTAATCTTATTTTTAATTAAAATTTTCTATACAAGTGTAAACACATAATTTGACTAAAATACATAAATTGGATTACTTCTGTTTTGATAATGTTTGGATAGTCTTCATTTTCTCTGTTTTTTTTCTTATCCCTTTTAACTTCATTTTTCTTCCTTTCCTTTTCTTTCTCTTCCTCTCCAGTCTCTGTTTCTTCTTTTCTCTTTCTTTTCCTTCTCTCTCTTTTCC